TATATATATATATATTCAATATAACAAATATGAAATGTATATATATATTTACCTCAACTCTGCATTTCAAATTAACATTTAGTATTTAAATAGTGAAATGAATATGCAGGAGCGTAATTTTGCTCGATAAATACTCAATTTAGAGTGGCGTTTTAATGCAACTATTGAAAATACTATTGGACCTTACAGCCTTCTTAAAAATTACACACGCATTTACGCAAATTTCGCCAACGAAATATTACTTGTGAATACAATCGCGAAATGATATAAACACTACGCAAATGAATATGTAAGTATCACAATGCGCGTTCCACCCCATAGAAGTTGCGAAAATGAATCACTTGGAGACTCGTGAGACTTTTCATCTATTTGCGCAAGGATTCGATCGAGTAACGATAAGATCAATCGCGCGTAACTCTAACTGGATGTCGTCGTGTGGGAGTCCTCGTTAAAATTTTAACTAATGCGAAATCATAATGTTGTCTATACGGTTTCGCGCATAACATAGCTTGGTTATATAACGCACGATAAAAGCATTGTTCTGAGTGACCCCGTGTATCCTGACCTTTCGCTTTCACTCCCCCTACTTCGATTTGACCGGTGCACCGTTCAAACCGCAAATCACAGCTCGATCGTGTCTGTGTCGGAAATACGCGCGCGTTCAAATAATTCGCAACGCTACGAAACCTTGTTCGGAACCTGCGATAGAAACGTTCGGTTTAACGCGCGTCTCAACCTGATATGCATAATTCATATATCCCAATGTAGATCAGCGTGTGGTTAAAGTGCGATACGAGTCAAGATTTACAAATACGCGAGCAGTCTGATAATTACAGTGTCAATTAACACATTACAGTGTCAATTACAGTGTCAATAATTATATAACGTCTATTGTCATTATCATTATTATTATTATGCGATATTTTGATCACACAAACACGCATATGTTGGAGAATAGCCGAAAACCACCGAATTTTCCGAATTTTATTAAATCGTAAAGTAAAGTTTTCGACGCGAAATCAAAAGTTCTTAAAGTGATGATCGATTTCACGTCGTATAATTACTCTCTAAATGTCTTGAAGTGAAATTTCATTCGAAAAATACGTGGAAAAAGAATTTGGTAATAAGTATTAAAATTTGATGAATTATTTGCCAACTAAATATGGTCATTAGGAGCCTCTACACGGATGTTATAGTGCAATATTACAAGTGATTTTTGATAATGCACGGGTTTCAGTGCGATAGTATTATATACAATATCCGAGAGGACTACCGAATTATTCAAGAGATATTGAACAGTTGTTGTGGTATTTACCATCTCCGACACAAATTCTTTGCAGCACAGTAATGTTTACCTGATCGGATTAAAATAAGGTGAAAAGAACGAAGAACGCGCTACGTTCCGACTTCCATGGAAATTTATAGGATTCGTGTCGAAGATAATAAATATCACGATATGGTCCAGTTTGCGGTTTGTATTTGCGAGTGAATAAACTTTCAGAAATCAAAACAAATGAACTTTTACCAACATAAGAGAATGCAATACTAAAAAATTAATAAAGAGTTCTGAATAAATTCTCAGAGCTCTATGAGAATAAAATAAACAATTCTTGTCTCTTACTATTTTTCTATAAAGTTGATAGAATTCGAGTAAAAAGTTATTGAAGAACCAATAACTTTGCAGTTATTTCTCTAAATATCTTAAAAAATAGAAATCGTATGAAAATATTTTTCAAATAAAAGTTTATTTTTTTACGTAGAATAAGATTCCATAATAAAAAATATAGGTTTCCATTTGAAAAACAAAGTTGACTTTGAAATGGCTTTGAAAACGCCCACGCATTAAAAAACTAATAATGCCACTTTGATCGCCTCTCAAAATCATGGAACACGTGTTTCAGCTTTTTTTTAAATTCGTTTTGTTAACTTAAATGGTACAGCCTATGCACGGTTTTAAAATTGGAGCAGTATCGGTCCCCAACCGGTTTTTGATTCTCAGCCCAGTATTGGCATAATATCCAAATGATAAGATCATCCCAACGTTACGTGCCAATGTCGATACGACACTGTCGTTGAGTTGGCTAACCGTGTTTAAGTCAATATTGGACAGTGGTTTTTTGTGGGCGATACCTCCAGTGTGCCCGCTGGCTAAGTCTGAACGCGACGTGTTGCTTTTCGCGGATGGCACTTCCGGTGCCCAGACAAGACTTGTCTGAGCCGACATCGCGTCGCGACCGAATAATCGACAGCCGATTTGCCAATGATATTGTCGACCCGAAAGTCGGACATCGGGCAAAAATCGACAAATCGTACCAGGGTTTCTTCCTTACTCATCTTCCGTCCCTTACTTCCTCATTCTTTGCTCTATTACTGTACAAAAAAGATGGCGACTTTCGATATATCGAAATCAATACCGCTTCTCTATTTATATCTATGACTCTGAGTGAGTTCGATGTATTCCACTGTCACGAGAATAAATTCACTCGAATCCATTGAAACATTCACTCGTACTGAATTAGAATCCACTCTGAGCTCAAGTGAAACGTTCACTTTTGCGATTTCGAGTGGCGATATTTCACTGTCATTTTGAGCGAAAATCCGCCACTTTTCGTTTATTTTAAGCGAATCCATTCCAAGAAATTTCAAGAGTACATTTGTCGGTTTAAAATTTGACTCTGGTTCCGTTAAAAAAGTGCGACGCTTTTCTCTTCAGGATGGAACTATTGGTTCAGAATTAGTTATTCGGCCACTGCCAGAACGGGTTCTGCAAGAGGTCGTGAATAAAGCGCCGGCTCTTCGGGAACCCACATTACTGCCCAATCTCACTGAAAGCGAGGACTTGAAACGCACGAGTCACCACATTGTTTTCAAAAAGGTGGATCGACCAGTCGGTGACGAGTACAGCGATTTTTGTGAGTGTGCACTATATATGTCGGAACAATACGATATGTGGGGTGACGGGTAAAACTATGCACTCTCTTACGCGATACAAATATTTCAGCGCTCATGGAACCCGATCACTTAGCCAAGAGATATAGAATCAAGCGTTCTACCAATAATAGGTCGAGGCGCGAAGCACCATACGTCATTTACCCGGAAATCCTTTGTATCGTAGATTACGATGGGTACAGGTGAGCGGACTATAATATGTGTAACACGTAGATATATCATATAAAGATAGTATCTCAAACTGATAAAAATAATTTTTGATTTTATTATTTTTACTATATTAAACATTCACATTTTTTTCTAGGCTTTCTATCATATGTGATATTATTTTCACGTTTCTCTTACCTCTTCTAACGCTTTCTCCCGTAATGGTTATACCGTAATGGTTATAGGTTGTTCTTTGTGATGCAAATTATTAGTGTTTGCATTAGCATTGTTAGCATTCGCAATTTTTCTCGTTATATGTAATTTCGCCATAACATTTATCATTCTTAGCACATACTTAGTTGAACGAACGCGATTTTCTTGTTCCAGATTGCACGGCGGCGATAACGTGCAGATAAAGAGATATTTCGTGTCCTTTTGGAACGGAGTGGATCTCAGGTACAAATTACTGAAGGGTCCAAAAATACGTATCAGTATAGCAGGAATAATCATTTCACGGGTAAGAGATAAACATGTAATTGTTTTCGATTGTGATGCATCGGTATATTCGTTCTTTTTTTTGTAAATTTTCGACCTAAATTTCGACTCCGAGTATTTTATTCTCGTTAAGCGAGTGTTAGTATGGGATATATCGGATTAGCGATATATTATATATTTCCAAGTGTTTCAAATCATTTATGTTACAAGAAGGTTTCCCATTTTAACGAATGTTTGACCAACTTATATGAGGATAAGTAGATATTTAATAATCATTTTCTTAGTCTATATAGGATTTTCTTAGTTTATATAGGATAAGTAGATATTTAATAATCGTTTTCTTAGTCTATGTAGGATGTTTCTTAAGTTTTGTCTAATATTTTAGCTATAATTTTCGCTCAGCGTGCATTTTAACGGGATAATGAACTGTTATTAATTTTTCTTCGACTGCGTAGATCTTTCGATAAATCAGAAAGGATTAGTTTTATAGTTGTATATAATATTATATAAAACTATATAGAGTATAGGCCATCTTATATTTAACAATTGGTAATTTTGTTGCTATCATCAATATTATTAGCATTTCTACATAAGACCTTCTCTCGAAGCATGAGGAAGTCATAATCTCCTAAAGAAAGTATACGTCAGGGCAAAAGAAAAAAAATTGGCAGCCGACAGGAAATGCGGTAGCAATGAGATATCTTGTGTAAACTAAAATCGCGTTATACTCAGGGACGGGACGCAACGCCTTACTTAGAAAGGAATCGCGTGGGAAGAGACGCAATCGACTCGGCAGCCGCTCTGACTGACATGGGCAAATATCTTTTCCGGGAGAGGAGACTTCCTGTATACGACATCGCCGTTGCCGTTACAAAGTAAGAGTGTCCGATCTACAAAGAAACGTGCGCGACTTTAATGAGTCGCGGGAGTGCCCGCGCGGCATATAATGACACAATTTTCTGATAATCTAAATTTACCATTTAATATTTCAACAAATAGAATCGAACCGATTTTTCTATCCTAACGATAAAAAGTACGAAAGGTTTATAAAAAAATTTTTATATATTTTAGTTTAATTTTCCGTTAGATATATGGTAAAATGGAGTAGCAGATATTCGTTGCATTCGCACTTATATTGCACTTACATTTATATTAAATCTATATGTGCACAGAAAAAAGTACCAAATTCAAGTAAATAATTACTCCAATACTTTTTAGCAACATTTTATTTGGATCGAGTAAATATATATTTTGCTTGGATCGAGTAAATATTATTTGATCCAGATAAAAGTATTTGTTAAGGAGTATTGGAGTAATTATTTACTTGAATCTAGTACTTTTTTCTGTGTATAAAAAAATACAAAAAGAATTGCGTAATTGTGTCAGTGTTTATGTAATAACGTTTTGAGGATCTGTACATCGATGATTATCACGTTCGTCGTCGATTTTGGCATCTTCTTAATATTGTAGTGATGAATCTCAATACAATTCAATTTCGCGTAGGGGAGACTGGATCTGGAAGTCACATGAGTCGGAAGTCACAAAGCTTAAATCTCACATAATAAATACAGGAAAATATTCTTTTTTATATTAGCTAAATCGGGAAGTTCCGTTCGTTTTTTTGCAAAAAGTATGATTTTATTTATAAAGATCGTGACCGCACCGTTTCTTCTTCTTGTGTTACAACTAATACCACTTATTATAAACATTATGATCTATTCTGATGATTTCATACTCTCGATTTTTATCCCGCAAAACAGGTATGATATGTGCCGTCGTAGGAAAGGCGGCCGCTGCACTAAGGGAACTGCCGGTATGGTTTATTACATAGATCACGCTTCTTTATATTGTTACCTTTTTTATTACTTATATTTATATAAACTATATTTTTTTTATTGTAGCATCCGCGCTAGCTTGTATATAATTGACGGTATTGACGGAATAGTAATGGTAACATAGTCTAACAGGTACAGCGTTGTTAAGGGAGTTCAAGTCTCGAGGAAGATATTCCTTTCTAGAACAATACATGAGAATCGGCATTTGTGACGCGTGACGTGCAAGCAACTCGCAATTCAATTGCTCCGTAGTAATATACATTAGAAAGAATGAAGAAGTAAGGATATCTTTCTTGCATGATCCTATATGATACACAAGGGGCGACCAATGGAACTGAGAGACTTGTAATTGCCCGTTCACGCAAGAGACAATGCATTTGCAATTCACCAGAGCTTTTTACGCACACTCGAATGAGGAGCGAATGAACGGGTTACAATGGGTTAATATGGTTTCACTAATCTCACCAATCTTACCAATTAATAACGCGCGCTTCACGGCCATTTGCATCGTTGTTGTTACGCCGGTTGATCGCACTGATCACGGCAATTCGATCTTATACGTGGAAACGCATCCAGCAGATCTGCAAACATGGAATATATCACCGATCGTATGACCCGCACACAAGGTGCAAAATTCATAAAATTATATTAATATAACTAATAAAGAAACACCGCGAATCAGTGTTACACAATTATAAGTAAAATTGTAAGCCACTACTTGACAAACGACGGTACTACCACATGCACAACATATCTGTGTAGCTAAATGAATCTCTCCGAGATTCATGTGGCTTGTGAAGTGAAGTGAACCAAGTCGATCGAACGATATGGTAGTACCGTCGTTTGTCCAGTGATAAGGGCTCAATTTATTCACGATTGTAATAACTGCCGCGAAAGGAGAACCCGAACTCTTTGATTTGAGTAAACTTTTATGAGTATGTAGAAGGAGTCAAGATATAAATAATACACGGTATGTTTCATTCGTATCCTATCGCCCTTTAAAGATTTTTATTTAAATTATTTATTTTATTTTATTTTATTTTATTTTATTTTATTGAAAGATAAACCTGTAATGTATACATGATACAAGAATTAATGGAACTAACGATGCACAACGGAAATTTCAATAATCTTTACCATATCATTTCCGAAATATTTAAGAAAGAAATTGGAAAAAAATTTTTTTCTAAGAAAATATTTTAGAAGAATTCTTTTAAATTTCTGTCACTTTGTAATCACGTTGATTTAACATTGAACTTTCATTATAAACATTTTTCTCTATCTCTTGTAGTTTGAGTTATATCAAAAGTGCGAAAATGTGAAAGCGCCTTTTTGAATTTGAAATCAAAAACTATATCTTTAAAAGGCAACCTATACGGGTATATTGTTGATGAACAATAGTTCTTCAATAGTATGCCAGTATTTTCCGTAATTATTTTCCATACGGGAATAAGTATAAGTATTATTTATATTTTGAGTTACTCCACACGCCCACAAAAGTTCATTTAAATCGGAGAGTTCGAGTTCCCGGTGTTTCTTTAGTAAGTTATATTACCATAAGGATGTCAGACGCAAAGCGTACTAAACCATGTAAAACGTACACAATAGACCAAATTAAGAAATAGAAGCGATATCGTTTTGTAAAATACTACATAAAATTTCGAATTATTAACGGAAAATAGTACGGAATATTATTAACGGAAATGGCGATGCATCCACTACATTGCGCGTGCTGATTCGTCTATTTTCGTTAATAACTCGAAATTTCACGTAATATTTTACCAAATGATATTGATCCTATTTTTCAGTTTAATTTATTGTATACATGTTGTATACATTTTGGCACGCCTCATGTCGGACATTTTATGCAGGGTATCCCACCTAGTTGAGCACCTTGAATATTTCTTAAATTAAGCAAAATAGGAAGAAACGTTTCAAACAAATGTTGTAAGGTCTTGAGGGGTATAAAGTACTGACCTTAACTTCGTTGCATAGTTAATAATTTAAGGTCATTTCAAAGTCAACTTCATTTTTTTAAATAGAATCGTATAATTTTTGTTAACATAGATCTATTTCTTTATTCACTCTTCGTGTAAAAGTAGGGTGAAATTATCGAAAAATTAATACTTTTCCAAATATTTTTTTTTTATTCTGATATTTTTCAGCACAAAATATGAAATATAATATGAAAAGTATTCACTTTTCTATAACATTACTAAAATACTTTTCTTCATAATATAACAAAAATCAGTTACTAATATTAATTACTATATATTGGTGTATCGATGCATTTGAAAAATGCAATGAATTTTTTTAAGATTCTTTTATGTTTGCTTACAGCGAACAATTCCACTTGTCATTCTACGTACAAAAGTGTTAAGACGATATTATCAAAAAATGAATTCTTCATGAGAATTTCTTCATTTCATATCTTGTACTGAAAAATATCAGAATGAAAAGTAAAATATCTCGAGAAAAAACAGGGAACATTTCTTTCTATTTTGCTTAGTTTAAGAAATATTCAAAATGTTCAAGTTAAGTGAAACATCCTAAATAGTAGCAAGAGAGAGAATCTTCACATGTGGAATTCACGTGTATATTTACAAACAAGTACCACATACACGCGCGACACACATATGCTTCCGCAATACGTGACTTTTCGAAACTGCCTTCGGAAAAAAGAGTTCCTTTATTTTGCGAAAAGAATTTGCGATAAAGCTTGAAACCGATATAATTTCGATATGTTCAAGTTCCGACGCGAAAGCGTCTCACATGTTGAAATTTTGCCGTTACGGCAACGATCATGTTCGCGTGTTTACGGCATCAAAATTTTATTTCTCAACGAAGTTATACCGCTTTCAATATCTGATTTGTGACGTTCGCTTCGCGGGTGTCTGCTTTCTATTATACACACAGACATGCACGTTTTTCTGGTTGATTTAAAATTGTCTGACATCTTTGAAATAGCTTTTCACACCAATCTCAGAAATAACTTTCGATTCAAGTCGTTTCTCTCCATCACGTGCGAATTTTTCTTGCAAATTAGGAACAACGAAGTTATTTCCGGAATGACTACGAAGAAATGGATCGGCGCAGTCGGTCACTGTAAGGACATCGCTTGAATTTATATTAAGATGCAGGGTAGTGTTATACATTTCCTTTTTTTCTTTTTCTTTTTTGTATAGCGGTTATTATCCCCTTTGAGAAGATTTTTATATTATTAATGTTTTGTGATTCCTTAGACACCCAGTGAGCTGCTTAGAAATTGTTTCGGACTAGTTCGAGTCGGTCATTACGACTCAGCGATTTCACGCATATTTATTCTTACCTGTTTTTGTTGTTGTCCTATATTCGTAAAAGGATTAATCCGAACGACGGAATTCCATCGTTTCTGTCTGTCTGTCTGTCCCGTGACCAAGTCGGATCGTATACTGAATATGATTTAACATGATAAAGAGAATTTTTGTTGTTGCATTGCAGATTAGATATGTGCAGGAGGCAATACGCGAATGACGTGTGCAATAGAGGAACCGCAGGTACGTTCTTTCGGATTCAGCAGAAAGGCAAATCTGGTTTTCTAGCTTCCCCAATTTTTTTTAAGTCACGCACATGCGCACCGCCTTGCCATGTTTCAATTTCTAGATCTCCGATCGCAAGTCGATACGATAGTGGATTAAGTGAAGAGAAGCTTGTCGGTCGAGCAAATCAGACGAGATCTTTAATGAACAATTTTTCTTCCATGCGACGGAAGAGCTTGCCGTAAAATTCGCGAGACTCGAGGAATCAGAACGAATATGTTAGACTTACATTCGCGTCATATTCTATTCTTTTCCATAATTCGTAATGTTGAAATTAATTAATTGAAATCACTCGAAGCGAGCCTGTTCTCTTATGTGCACTTTATTTTATGTGCCTTTCAATATAATCTCTTCTAACGCCTCGTGTTCTTTCTTCTCTACGGTGAAATGATTTCTTGCGTCGCACGCGTCACACAGATTACAACTCGTAATGAGAATGCGTTGACGACTCGCAATCCGTAAAAGCAATTGCCTCTCTCGGACTCTGCTGTTCCCTTGCACAGTTGCTTCAATCTTTTACTTCTTTGTGTGTTTACGTCTGTTGTACATGTGTGCTAGGTTTCAATATCCTCACAGTGGCGGATCAAAAAGCGTGTTTGTGCTCTTCGAATTGTGGTAAAAATTATAATGAAAATCCAAATTATCGTTGGTAGACGGTTGACTTGCAAATTTGCCGAATTTCCGATATCGATATCCTGAAAATACGTCCCATTTTATGTTTTCATTATAATCCGCCACTGTATCTACATGACTGTTGCTATCTTCGCAATTATGTACATACTGTTATTTCACAGTCTTATATACGCCGAAATCGTTCTCAAAGATCGATAACACACTTCGTAGCCTAAACTGTCGTGGCGAGAAAAAGATACACGTTGCCCAAAATTCCTACAAAATTTAACTCCGTCTTGTCTCTCTATCTCTCTTTCCTTGTTTCTATTTCCTTTCTCGTTTTTTTTTTTTTTATTTTATTCTCTCTACATTGCCTGCGCTCTTTGTTTCGTATCTTTTCTGAATGATTCACGACTCTTGTTATCTTTTCGGCTGCATTACTGTCATGGATCGTGGCTTGGTAAGTCTTTGAAATCACACCAACTCTAAGTACGTCAAAAGACATCTCCTGTCGTCGTTTGATATCAAATCAGAATAACAATAAAGGGAGGGAAGGGAAGGGGAATCCTAATCCGTTAATCGGCCGACTCGCCATGCAAACGTCTCGAAATTTATTATTTTACGGTATCTGATATCTCAGCTAACTCTCTCATTAACCATCAGACGATGTATTAATGCCGGATGCATGCCGACTATCGATGATTAATTGTCCTAACATTTACTCGTGCGAATTAATATACCGTTGATCTTCGGTTTACCGTAGTCGAGTCCGTTAAGTCCACGTCTGTTTTCGCATAATTTTCTATACATCTTTCTGTATGACTGTATGAAATTCTCGACGTATGAAACACTTTAAGAGTAAACTCCTCATTTTGATTTTAGTTAAAATACATGAAGGTTCATTAATCTTGTCAAAAGTTCATTAATCTTGTCGACACACACGCGGAAAATGCCGGAAAATATAAATTCATGAACCGAAAAGTACTAATAATCTGGCCCAGCTAGGATATACCATAGTGAGGTTTTAGATTGTTGAGTTTAGATGATGACTGGAAAGTTCTCACCCAACATATTCCCCTGACATCTCTCCAAGAGATTATCATTTGTATATCTATTTTGGAATGTGGCAAACGTCATGCGACAACAAGACGTCAATAACCGAAAGTCTCTGGAAGATACACTATCTACATATTTTGCGCCTAAGTCACCACAATTTTATAGGAAAGATATCCATGATCTCATTGTACGATGGCAGAAGGTCGCATGTAATGGAGTCTTTTTTCATGTGTAATGATGATTGTGCAATTAAACACGTTTTCTTTCATCTAAAAAATAAGAAAAAATGACAAAATTTTCCGTGGGATCTGGTACATATATAAACTTGCTCAAATACTCGAACATTCTGACATTATTATATATGCTACAATGCATGCATATGCGGAAAAAATAACTTAGTTCCTGCAACAGAATAGGAACCAAATGAAACTTAGCGACAAGAAGTAATATCTCTGTTACCGCGATTAAGAATATTCATGTGAATATTTAACTGCATTAAGACTCGGTTGAGACTGAGAACAACTGACTGAATATCCTAGTAGCATACTTCATTGGCCAACGTTGAGCCAATGTCACGCCAATGAAATGTGCTACTAGTAGGAACCTCATATAGAAATTTTTCCTACAACAAATTTTTGTCTGGTTCTTAAGTATCAACAAATTCAGTACAACGAAATTGTTTTTTCCATGTACAAGAACAATCAAAACTCAATACAATTTACGTCGTCGTTCACTCCAAAAAGAATTCTTATACTTATGGGATATATTTAAAATGTCAAAGAAATTTCAAAAAAGTACGGATAATTTAGAGAGCAAAGAAACTACACAGAACTAATTTTTTCCAAGTAATATGGATTTTTTCAATGGCTTTGAAACACACGTGAAATCAAATTCCAAAATTGAATTCATCTTTCCTACAAAGTATGCATTGTTCTAATGCTAAATAAAAAATTTGAGAGATTAATTAAATTATATATAGATATTAATATATCAATGATAAAAAAATTTTAATTAGAATTACAAAGTTACGTAAATTATTATAATTTGCAGTTGGCTTGAATAGATTTATTTATTATTACATATATTTATTTGTGTAATAGCTCTTTCGCAAATGATTGCAAGCAATACAACGCGATTATCACGGTTACAACTGCCCATCGTTATCTGAAATGCAACGAAATTTCTTTCTGCTGTTATCATAGACGCTCATACACAATAGTATTATGTGTTACACAATAGTTACTACTCACGATAAAATTTTTCCTTTACTAATATTAGAAATAACGAGTAGTCTAAATTGCAACAACGAAAACACATATGTCAATAAAGACATTTTTTACTCTTTGATATTTTCTTATACGTATAATAAATTTGTATTTCGTTCGGTTAAAAAATATATCTGATCAGATTATTCGTTTATTGCTGTCACGTGTAAATTTTGGCTTTAGCATAAATATATCCCAGTTACGCAAATTTAGTAAATTATACTATTAATATGGTATATTATTCAATTAAAATATTCTTGCGTGCAGTTTGCTTCTTCATAAACAGACGAGAACTTTAATGGAGCCCCCGATGCGGTAAATGGAAGATTAAATTCATGCGACTTCACGTCTAATAATAACAAAATATAATAATATCAGTGGTAAATTAACAACAGGCGCATTTACATTCTGAACGCAAACAGAGTGTGAGAAGTGCAATTGATAAAATCGATCGTACGTGCGATTGAAAGTTCATCGTCAAGAATAATTATGCTGAGAGAAAAATGTTTGGTGTGTGCAACTATAATCGCATAAGTAAAAAAAATATATATTTGAGGGAATAATTGTTCCTATTAGAGTTACTATTCATAGTGATAGCGATAATGACCTTACATATATATTACTACTACTGTTTTGTAAATTAAAACCAGAAGGTGATTGCAACTTCAATGGGATTTCTCTCAGTGTGAATTCATGGTGTAAATGCGCTTCGGCATATCGCTATACAGGTTACTAATTTAACGAAACAGCTTGTTCGATGCCGACAGCCTCGGTAATAACGAATCAGCGCTCTATTTAATGTACGAATACTAGGAAGGTAAATGCGAGATGTGCTGAGGATCTTTGTTTGCACAGGATTCGCGTACGTCGGTGGAGCATGCGTCGTGAATAAACGTCTCGAAAAGGTCAATTCGGTCGCTATCATCGAAGATACCGGCGGATTTAGCGGCATCATCGTCGCTGCCCACGAAGTGGGTCATTTGTAAGTGCCTAGAATTTTTTTCCGCTAATTTTACTTAACGCTTGCTACCAGCGTCACACATAATGTACCGATCTCTCACTTCGAGTTCATCTTTACTCAACATTTCCAATTCTACTAACACTTACGTCGTAAGTGGAATATTTTAGACGAAATTAATATTGCGTATGTTCTATTAATCGTAGGTTGGGTGCCGTTCACGACGGTTCACCTCCGCCCAGTTACTTAGGTGGACCGGGTGCTGAAAAGTGTCGTTGGGAAGACGGATATATCATGAGCGATCTTAGACACACCGAGAAAGGTTTCAAGTGGTCTCACTGTAGTGTGTCCTCCTTCCATCATTTTTTAAAGTAGGTAATCATTGCAGAACGTTAACACATTCCGTGGATCCAACGGTGGCCTAGGCTGAATTTTCTTTAAGGAGATTTAATATTTTGGCTATAAGACGAAGCATAATCATGAGATACTTCAATTATTATTATGTTGCTTGACAAATCAAATTTCAATACATGTTTTCTAAATTTCTTGGAATGAAATTTTGATTGAAAAATAGAGTGATCACCGAGTCACTTGGACTCGACTGATTTCTCACTCGTATAAAGTAAATTCTCCATTCCGAATCGTCGAATGAATATTTTTATTCAAAATTAAAAAGCGAATCTGATATAATTTTATATATAAATAAGTTATCTTAATTATTAATAATTAAATATTAATATAATAATTATAAGTAAATATAAATTACGATATAAATAGAAAGCAGCGAAATTAAATTCGATATATCGAACGTTCACAATTTTTTTTGCATGGTGATATTTAGAGCAAGTAAGATAGAGAAGGAAGATAAGTAAGGAAGAAGGATTAGATTGTAAGCGACTCAAATCTTAATAATTAATCTAACAAGGGAACGCTCGGAACTGACCCTAATCGATTTTTATGGGATTGGAATATGTTGTAGAGCATCAAAAAATATTAGACTATTAAAAAATATTAGACCCATATATATTTTTTATACATACATATATATATATATTTTTTTTCATTGTTTGATAATGGGAACGCTAAGGTCTAAGCAAATTTTAAACATATTAAAAATAAATTAACTTG